AGGGTCGCTATGAGTCGGAAACGACTCGACGGCACATAACAACAACATATAATATTTCCTAAGACTCAGTTTTAAAAGTTAATTTTTTCCCAAGTGAAGTTCAGTTTTTAAAAAAATCTAATAAAAACTTTAGTAATGAAAGAAGTAAATAATTCAGACACAGATTAAATGAAGCATATTTTTTCCAACTTGTCATTCTTCAGACTTTGATGATAAAAGATGGTAACTGAGTAAGCTTGATATGCAATTCTTTGTCTACCACTAAAAGTTACAAAAACTTTTAGAGATTTTAAAAATTAGTATGAGCTCCATTCATGTGTTCCATTTTGAAAACAAATTATGTAAATTATTAAAAGAAAAAAGGATACTTTCCAATAATGAATAATTTTATTATGACATAAAAACACATTACTTACCGTGCTTTTATCTTTAAGAAGTTTTTCAATTACTTCAATTAACATTTCCTTCTGCTCTGGATCAAGGCTAAAATGTAAAAATTTTTTTAAAAAGCATTTATGTTAATTTCTCTTTTAATCTAATTTGAACTTTAAATAACATTTCAATAGTGTTGAAAAATTTTTAAGGGATCAAAGAAAAAATATTTAATAGAAAACTGATAGCAATATGAGACTATTTTTCTCACAAAAGTATCCTATATATTCCCTTTATAGTGCTCATATTAACTAAACCTAAATATTGAAGCCACTAAGAAAGTTCTGGATAAAAAGATAACTAAGAAAACAACTACAGTAAACAACAAATGATGGCAAGGTTTTGAAGAAACTGCAACTCTTATTCACTGTTGGTAGGAGTGCAAAATGGTGCACCCACAATGAAAGGTAGTATGGTACTTTCTCAAAAAGTGGTAAATAGAAATACCATTTGACCCAGCAATTCTATTACTAGGAATATAACCTAGAAAACCATAACAGCTACCCAAGCAGATATATGCACTCCCATGTTTATTGTGGCTTGTTCCCAATAGCAAAGAGTTGGAAACAACCCAAGTGTCCATCAACAAACAAATGGACAGAGAAGCTGTGGTATATTCATACAATGCAATACTATGCTGCTTTGAAAAACAAAGAGCTTAAAAAAGAAAATGAGCTCATGAAATATTATACAAAATGGGTGACCCTGGAGGACATTATGCTGAGTGTAATATCTCAGACACAAAAGGACAAATACTGCATGATGCCACTGTTGTAAAATGGGACTGACACTGGGACTAGGGGAGACGGAGAATGACTGGCTAAATTATGTATACTGCATTGAAACAGATGAGGAAAAGAACAGTTTAAAAGGGATGTATGGATAAGTATTATTGTCATGACAGAAGTCCAGAACAAAGGCTGCAGAGTGGAATGGACTTGGGGGGAGGGGCTGTAGAACAATGCAAGAATTTTTCTTTTACTTTTCAAAGAGAAGAGCTAACTGGGAGGGAGAGGTGGGCAGGGAGAAAACTGCAACAATGAATGAATGGAAATCCAAAGTCTCTGTACATTTCCATTAAAATTAATAATAATAATTTTTTTAAAAACCCAAAAGTGTTATAGTATTAAAAAAAGAAAATAGCTGCAATTATACACATTTTTTTAACAAACTGGGGAAAAAATAACTTAAGTTTTTTTACTATGAATGACAAATCACCAAAAGCATGCACAAAGAATTTTGAAATAAGAATACATTTTTAATAATCTAGTTCACTAAGGAGCTCTAGTGACCTAGTAGGTAAATATCTAGTTTACCTAGTAAACTATTCAATGCAATAGAATATTTAAACTTGTCAAACTCAACAACTCCATTAGGTTTTCAAGGCTGAAAGTAGTAGGTAAATATCTAGGAGCTTTGATTGGCCAAGTGGGTGTGTAGGTGGTTTGAATCCATCAACCGGTCCTCAGGGAAAAATCAGGCTATTTCTGCCTGTGAGATTTATAGCCTTTGAAAACCAGCTGGATAGTCAGTAAGTTTGTTCCTATTCGGTGGCACCTAACAACAGTTCACTGATGGAAACATATGCTATCTAAAAATAAGAAAAACAGAAGACTCATACATGTACCAAAATGAAAGCTGCATCTATCTTCTTAGCACTGTTCTAAACATTGTTCCTTACAGAAAATTAGATTCTTGTTAATTTACTGAGAAGTCAGACAATGGATAAACAAAGAAAAAGAGTCTAGTATAGATGGAACCAAAGCAAGCATATTCTAATACAGAACTATATAAGGAATTTAAAGGGCAGATTTCTTATTAAAAGTGATTCCTAAAATTAATCATAAATGATCTGAAATTAGATCTGTGGAAAGGAGGAAATATTCCAGTTAAGAGATTAAAGCAGAAACAGCAGGTGGTAATGAGATTATATAAAAATTGCTTTATTAATAAGGACTAATAATCAGTATAAACAGCAATCAACAACAACAATCAGTATAAATGCATAGTAATGATTAAGCAATATCATGCTAACCCAAAAGTTGTGGGAGAAGGATGTTATAGTTTGTTTCTGTAAAAATTTACAATCTAGAAAGCCAAATAAGGCAATTCTAGTAAGGAGAACAATGGTAACCTAGTAGCAAGAAGCTGTACTGCAAACACAAAGGCACGTGGCTCAAGACCACTAGCTGTTTCACAGGAGGATGGACAATCTCCTCCCATGCTTTAATTGCCTCTGAAATCCTGCTGGAGGGTCAGCTATGGGTCTGTTCCAACTCTATGGTACACCATACCATCCACTACCACCGCTGAGACAATGCTCTCAACAAGGGAATTCTGTTGGCCTAGTGGTAACGAGTTGTGCTGTCAAACCAAAGGCATGTGGTTTGAACACACTGAGTTGCTCAATGAGAGAAGGATGGGCAATCTCTCTGCATTTAACTGCATCTGAAAATCTGCTGGAGGGTCATTTCTGAGTCAGTTCTGATTCAAGAGTACTCAACAATAACAAAAGTAACTCTGCCCTAAGGGAGTACTAGCCTAGCATTTAGCTGCTTCACTGCCAATGCAGTCACAGTTCAAATCAATCAGTATTCTGCTACAGAAAAGATGAGAATCAACTCATGCAATATACTGCCTCTGATAACCTACTGGAGGGTCAGCAAAGGGTCAGTTCCAAATCAATGGCACTCTTACAACTCTGTCCTATATTGCTATTTTGAGTCAAAAACAATTCAACAGCAATGGGCTTGTTTTTTACCTTCACATAAGCAGTAAAGACAAGATGGAGTGTTAGGTTCAAGGCAGGAAGAGGTAAAGCTTAGGATATAAACTAGAACACAATGATGAAATGATTTTTTTTTAATTTAGTTTGTTTATTTTTCATTTCAATGAACATCTACAGAGATTTTGGAATTCCATTCATTCATTGTTGCACCCGTCTCCCCGCACAAACCCCTCCCCCCTCCCCCCCATTTGCTCCTCTCCTTGAAAAGCAAAAGAAAAACACCCTCATGATGAAATGATTTTTAAATCAAAATGGGCCTGGGTCTTAGATCACAAGTTTATTTCTACAAAAATGATAATGAGAAGCCAAATACAGCTTTGGACAATTTTATTACTGAAAATGGCAACTCTCCACACAAAGTTATGTTTATGAGAGCAATTAACTATAAAGTATACAATTTTCTTGAACCTAGCAATTCTTTTAACCAAATCTCTGTATCATGAATCATAGTACCATATCTCTATACTTTAATTTGATATTGGTATACAAACAATATTTGTATGCACTGTGTTTATTCATATACACTGTGTTTCATACCATCTTTCATTCACATTGTTTCATATAATCTTTTATATATATTGTGTTTTATAACATTAATCACCATTGAGTTATGGCTATTATTATCCTCTTTTCAAGTTTCAACTGGATCTTGCCTATTCTTTCATACCCTCCCTCCTATATGCCCAATAAACTCTGCTATCCCCGTGATTTCCTCCTCTCACATTTTCTTCCCCGTTCCTTCTTTCCCTTCATCTTTTGGGGATTTATGCATATTTTACCAGTTATCCTTCTATTTTTTTAATTTATTATTAATGTCAATGACCATTTACAGAGACGTTGGGTTTCCATTCATTCATTGTGGTACTTTTTTCCCCTCCCAACCCTCCCCCCTAGTACACTACCCTCTTGGAAAAGTAAAAGAAAAATTCTTTCATTGTTTTACACTCCTACCCCACGTCCAATACACCATGTAGTCTTCGCTCTGGACTCCTGTCATGACAAAAATACCTAATCACATATCCCTTTTAAATAGTTTTATGCTTCCTCACCCGTTTCAATGCAGTACACATTATTGAACCCATCTTTCTCAGTCTCCCCCCCACCCCCAATGTCAGTCTGGTTTTACAACAGTGGCACCACGCAGTATTTATCCTTTTGTTACTGAGATACTTCACTCAGCATAATGTCCTCCAGGGTCACCCATTTTGAATAATATGGCATGAGTTCCTTGTTATAATGGTGTTAAATTATATTTATCCTTTTAATACTGAATAAGTTCATTCAGCATCATGCTCACCAAGTTATACAGCATTTTACAAAATTGTTATTCCTTAGTGCTATATAGTCTTATATGAATGTACCACAACTTCTCAATCTATTCCTTTGCTGATGGACATTGGACTGTTTCTATTTTCTTGCTACTGGGAATAACATTGATATGAACATGTTGTGGTCATTGTCAGGTATCACTGAGTACAACTCATAGCTAGTGACCCTATGAAGAGCAGACCTGAACCCTGCCCTATCCCGTGCCATCCTCATTATCTCTTACAAGTGTCCACTGCTGAAGTCGCTGTGTCAATCTATTTCATTGAGTATCTTCCTCTCCATCACTAACCGTCCATCTTTCCAAGCACAGTGTCTTTTTGCGAGGAATAACCTATCGTACTACACTGCAATCCCAAAGAAATGCAGCTCAAGTCCATCAGCTAGCAACTAGAGAAGGATGGGTACTGTCCTCCCATGCCATTTACTGTCTCTGAAAACCCACTTGAGCATCAGCGGGTCGGTTCCAACTTAAGGACACACAACAACTGAGCTGAGCTGGTATCTCAATGTTTTTTTTATTTCCATCTCTCTGATTTTGAGCATTTCTTCATGTGTCTGCAAGCCATCTGAATATCTTCCTTCCTGAAGTCATCCCATGGCTTTTGCTCATTTTGCTACTGGATTATCAATCTTTTTATTGTGAAGGCCCCATAGTAGTCTATAAACTTTCACTATGAGATCCTATCTGAGATGTCATAGTCAAATGCTTTTTCCCAGTATGTAGGAGTTTTTTCACCCTATTGGAAAACATTTTGATGCATATAGGGACTTACTTTTTAAAAGATCCCATTCGCTAGTAATTTAGCTTTGCCTGACAGCACGAGAAAAGAATTTTTACTTTTTTCTAAAGATTGTATGATTTTCTTAGTAGTAGTAGTGTAATTATTTTAACATTCAAACCTTTTCTTTCAAATCCCAGTTCAAATTCTTCTCCTCAAATCTTAGTTTGATTTCATTACATATTTAGTTTCCTGTAATGCTTATTATATACAAAAACCAATCTGTGAGCATCTATCATTTCAAAGGCACTGTTACCATCTTTGTATATGCATATATATCATGTGAGACAGAGCTTCAAAATTTTCGCCTCTATGAAGCAACTTGATTTCACCCTCTCCAGGAAAAATATGTTCTCTTTACAATCTATGAAACGTTCAACACTCTTTTTGCCACACCACAAAGTCAAAGGTCTCAATCCTCTGTCTGTCATCCTTAGTTACTGTCCAGTTGTCTCATACATAGCAAGTAACTGGAATTCTCATTCTTCTCAACATTTGCCACAGCTTAGTTTGTTGTGATCCACACAGACAGATTGTGTGGTTATTTTAGCAAATATTACACTACTATGGTGCAGTACTGTATCGAAAATCAACAAATTTTTTTCTTCTCATTGTGATTTTAAGTCAAGTTTACAGAAAAGTTTTCATTTATTCAATATTGAACATTTAAAATGACAAATTTTTAGAGGATTATATAAAAATTAGCCCTGAGGGGAAAATGAGAAATGGAACAAAAGAAATAAATGGAAGATGGAAGCAAATGGAAGAAGGTAAATTAAAGAACAACACATTTGAGAATCAATCTTGCAAAAAATGCAGGGGGGGAAATCCCAACTCTCTAGGAACATATATGTATGTGTGTGTGAGTCATCCGCAATTATACTAAACAGTTAAGATACTACTCTGTTGATACCTGCAAGGCTAACAATTTGACTCCCCCAAAAAAGCACCTTGAGAGAATTATGTGGTAACATACATTAGAAAACTCAGCTACTGAAAACACTGCGGTACAGAATATTGTATCACACACAGGTGGTTGGCATGAGTCAGAACCTACTGGGTAGAAACTGATACTGGTATGTGCCCATCACAGGAAGACTGAAGGATTGCAAATTGAAATTCTGATTACTCTGCAGTACTAAAATTAATAAATTATCTAAGTTCCCAACAAGATCACAATTAAATCTTTGTAACAGAAACATTAAAAGTGTTCAAAGACTGTGGATAGGGGAAAATAGAGTCACTTAGTTTAATTAATATTAGGATGTTGTTGTTATGTGCCATCGAGTCGCTTGCGACTCATAGCGACCCTATGTACAACAGCCCTAAACTCTGTTCTGTCCTGTGCCAATTGCACTATCTCTGACACTCCCATCCCGATTATCCCAGTCACTGAATCAATCCACCTAAGGGAGGGTCTTCCCCTCCTGCACTGTCCCTCCACCCACCCAAGCATGATGTCCTTCTCCAAAGACTGGTCTCTCCTTACAACATGTCCAAAGTGTGTTAGATGGAGCCTCAGAATCCTTGCCTTCAAGGAGCCACCCGGTTTAACCCTTTCCAGGATGAATCTGTTTTCCTAGCAGCCCTTACTCTCAATACTCTTCTCTAGCACCACAGCTCAAAGGCATCAATTCTCCTTCTATCTTCCTTAGTCATTGTCCAACTCTCTGATGCATAACAAGTGATTGCAAAGACCATGGCCTGTATCAGATGTACCTTAGTCTCCAGAAGGACACCACTGCTCTTCAGTACTTTGGAGAGGTCCCTAACAGCAGACTTTCCCATGGCAATATGACTTTTAATTTCCTGGCTACTGGTGCCAAGAGTGTTGACTGTGGAATATTAGAATAGGCTAGTAAAAGTTTTTAATAAAAGAGGTTGTCATGGGTTACTATTCTATGTAACATGCAAGATCTTGGGAATTATTAAAAATGTACCTACCTGTATAATTTTTGTATTGCATGGGCTGCATTCTTCCTAACATATGGTGACAAGTCAGCAGAAGCTTCCTTAATAGCAAGCATCATGATAGGTACAATAATTGGCACTCTAATACTGGATAGAACTCTCAAAGCACTCGCACGTATCAGTTGGTTTGGATCCTAAAAACAGAAATATAGTCTTAAAAATGTCACGTTTTTATCACATGGTTAACAAGGTCTTATTATATAAAGAGAATAACTACTAGTGAGTTACTTAACTTAAAAGGAGCTGATATATGGAAATGAGCGAGGACAAGATGTATTTCCTTATTATTTAGAAAAGAGAAGTAAGCATAGAAGAATTATTTAATTAACACTAAAAAAGGAGAGCTTGCATATCCTATGGCCCCTGCCATTAGAGGCTCCAGGCCCTGGAAGCTAAAATCCATTGAGATTTACAAAGAACCCTGGGCATAAAAAGTTGAAATAAGACAAACATGTCCCACTAAAGACAATGGAGAGAAAAAAACCTTCCCCAAGAGCCAGGACCCTCCCAAACCATAATCAAATTTAGTTTTTATTTGTTAAAGCCACTTACGTTATTCTGTTATTGCAATCCTAGAAAACTATGATAACTATTTTCTAAGCATATTGAATAAAACTGCAAGAAGCCTTTTAATTCTTTCAAGACACTAATTACAAAGCCACTCAAGAGTTTACTGTTCTACTTTTAATGACCCACATACAATTGTTCAGAAACAGCTATCTGTGCATTTACTCTGTTACCTTCAGGGCTCGCTGAAAAGTACTTATGGACAAGAGCGCCAGGTCCTGTTGTTCTTCAGCATATCGCACCAGGTAGACATACACCAACTTCTTGATCTGTTTAAGATAAATCATTCAATTATAACCAAAGTGAAAATTTAAAATTCTCTATTTTTTATATTAAAATCCACTCTAAATTTTCCTTAAACAAACTGAATATGATCAAATATTAGACTGTGAAATGAAGATACTAGTTAATGAATTCAAAAGAGAAAAACTGTAGAAATAAGCTTTTTTTTTTTAAGAGGTCAAGATGGTGGATTTTTATTGCACAAACTTTAGAAATCTTGTCAAAAGGGGCAGTTCGTGGTAAAAGACATTCTACAAAGAGTTGTTGTTATTGTTAGGTGCTGTCAAGTATGACTCATAGTGGCCCTATGAAAACAGATCTGAATCCTTTCCAATCCTGTGACATCCTCACAATATCAGACACTTTCAAGCCCATTTCTGCAGTCACTGTATCAATCCATGTGGTTGACCGTCTTCCTCTCCTTCCTAAGCATGATGTCGCTCTCCAAGAATAACCTCTCCTAGCAACATGCACAAAGTATGTGAGATGAACCTTGTTCATCTTTGCCTATTCCGCCTTCCTTTCCTATGGCTCTTGTTCTGTTTTTCCAGCATTTTACGCAGGTCCTTCATATTAGCTCATCCCATTAGGTCTTGGTCTGAAAGACTGCCTCCAGAAATAAGCATTTTGATAAACAAATTTACAATATCCTATCTACATGACATTCCTCTTGGGGGGGGGAGATGAATCTCTAAGGAAAACATATATAAAATATTAAAATGACTGAAATGCAAAAAATCTTTTCAAAGCAAAGAATACAAATAATTGAAGGGTAATGTTCACTAAATATGTCACAAATGACTTCATATTCTTCATCTGGTAAAAGGCTATTCTACCTCTGATTCTATGGTAACATTTGCATTACAATATACATGGCATTTTAAGCTCTGTAAAAATAAAGTGCAAAAATAATGCCAATTTAATGTAAAAAAAGTTTTGAATAGTTGAAAATATCATATGAAAACAGTTTTTAAAGGTTTACTATAATCACTAAGTTTATAATTGTTGTTGTTGTTGTTGGGTACCATAGAGTCAGAACCAACCCATAGCTGACCCTCCAGATGGTTTTCAGAGGCAGTTAATCGCATAGGAGGAGATTGTCCATCCTTCTCCTGAAAAGCTGCTGGTGGCCTCGAACTGCGTACCTTCGGGATTGCAGCGCAGCATTCTTGCCACTGGGCCACCAGAGCTCCCTGTTTGTAAAATTATAGTTAACAAAGAAACCTGACAATTAAAATTATTACTTAAATTCATAAACTGCTTTCTTCTGGACCTACTGCTGATATAGTCTACAAAGGCTTGTAGAAAAATAAATGCTTCATCAATACTGCATATTTTACAAACTGAAGATTTCAGGCAACTCTGTCCAACAAATCTATCAGCACATTTTCCCAACCGTATGTATTCTATGATTTGATAATTTTTTCAAATTCTGGTAATTCTTCTAATGTTACAAATTTTTACAATGCTATTTATGCATTTAAATACAGGCCACAATACAGAAAAAATATAACTTGCACATGCATGGGAAACAAAAAAGTTTGTGTAACTCACCTTATTGCTCTAATTGTTATTATGATTTAGTTTGTAACTGAATCCACAAGAACTTTGAGGTACATCTTTTCACTCCCTTGTCAAAAATCCTCAGAAACTACTTCCCAAATAATTTTCTTAGAATATAAACAAAGACCTGACTGTATTTCTGCAAAACGTGTATCTAGACTAGGGAGCAGAACAGAGCAATGGAATATTGCATGGTTGAAAACCAAGAAAGGAGTATGTCAGGGGTGTATCCTTTCCCCATAGCTGTTCAATCTATATGCTGAGCAGATCATTCAAGAGGCTGGACTTAAAAAAAAATTATTTTATACTGGTTAACTTACAAAGTTCATAAAGTTCATATACATGGTTTTTCACACCAGATCTTTCCCCTTTCCTTTACCCACCCTTCCCACCAACCATCAAATTGTGTGACCCTATGATTTAAGTACCTCTCCTCCCCCTCTTGGATCCTCGTACTCACTCTAAAATAATGGTCTTATACAGTATTTGTCTTTATGAAACTTAGTTCACTTAGCATAATGCTCTCCAGTCCCTCCCATGTTAGACAGTAATTTATAAAATCACTGCTCCTGTGTGTTGCATAGCACTGCATTGTGTGAATGTACCATAATTTCTCAATCTATTCCATTGTGGTTGGGCATCTGGGCTGTCTCCATGTTCTTGCTTTGGTGAATAGTGGTGTTATGAACATCAGTGTACAAGTCTCCATTTGTTCTTCAGCTCTGATTTTCTCAGGGTGTATTCCAAGAAGTGGAATAGCAAGGTAATATGCAATTTCTATGTTCAGCTTTCTGAGGAAGCACCAAACTGCCTTCCAGAGTGACTGTACCATTTTACAAACCCATCAACTATGCATAAGAATTCCTATCTCATCATATCCTCTCCAACATTTATTACTTGCTGCCTTGCTAAACTCTGCCACTGCTACTGGAGTAAGATGGTATCTCATTGTGGTTTTTATTTGTGTATCTCTTATTACCAGTGATTTGGAGTATCTCTTCATGTGTCTGTTGGCCATAAAATGTCCTCCTCTGTGAAGAGTCTTTCCCTGTCTTTTGCCAATTTTGTAACTGGATTATCAGTCTTCTTCTTGTAGAGGCCCTGTAGGATTCTGTAAACTTTTGTTATGAGACTCCTATCTGAGATGGTATTGCCAAATGTTTGCTCACAGTCGGTAGGTTTTCTTTTCACCCTGCTGGAAAAAGGTTTTGATGTGCACAGAGATTTAAATTTAGAAGGTCCCACTCATCAATTTTATCCTCTTCAGATTGTGCATTCTGGCTGTATTTGGCAGTATCTTTATACCACAGACTAGGCCTTCTAAGCTTCGTTCCAGTTTGTCCCTTATGAACTTTGGTTTGGGGCTTTATTTCCAGGAGGCTGGGCTTTTTTATTAAAAAGATTGTGGCTCAGGAATGGAGGAAGACTGACCTACAACATGTTTTATGCAGATGACACAATCTTGCTTGGCAAAACTGAACAGGACTTGAAATATTTGCTGCAGAAGGTCAAAGACTGCAGACCTCATTATGAATTCCATCTCAGCATCAAGAAAACAATGAGCTTCACCACAATGCCAATAAGCCATATTATAATAGGTGGAGAAAAGATTATAGTTGTTAGTGATTTCATCTTGTTTGGATCCACAATCAACGTTCTGGCACCACTACTCAGGAAATCAAAAGATGAGTTGCACTGGAAAAATTTGCTATCTCTACAGAGCACTAAAGAGCAATGCTGTTAACTTAGAGACTAAAGTGTGACTGATTCAGCCCATATTCTTCTCCATTACTTGCTATGCATTTAAGAGCTTAACAGGGACAAAGAATGACAGGGGGGAAAAACTGATGCCTTTGAGACGTGGTGCGGGAGAAGAGCACTGAATATACCTTGGACTGCCAAGAGAACAGGTCTGTCCTGAGGAGGGTGAAACCAGTTTGCTCCTTGGAGGCAAAGACTGTGAAGCTGTGTCTCACATACTTTGAAGATGGTGCCAGGAAGAACTAGTCCTTGGAGCAGGACATCATGTTTGGAAGAAGAGAGGTCAGCACATGAGATGTTCAGTACTCTTCTCCAACACCACAGCTCAAAGGTATCAATTCTTCTTCTGTCATTCTCAGGTCACAGTCTTTTCAATTACTTGCTATGTATCTGAGAGCTGGACAATAAATAAGAAGAATAGATGATTTTGAACTACAGTGTTGAAGAAGAGTACAGAATATCCCATGAGCAGACAAAGAACAACAGCATGGAGGAAGTGCAGCCAGAGTGCTCTGTGGAAGCCAATATGGCAAAGCTTTGTCTCTGGTACTCTGGACATATTTCTAAGAAAGGTTATTCCTTGGAAAGGGGCATATATCATGCTTAGAAAGGTGGAGGGTCAGCAAAACAAGACCCTCAATCAAATGGGTTGACACAGTGACTGTAGTAATGGGCTCAAGTATGTTACAGATGATGAGGATGACACAGGACAGGGATAGGATCTGTTGTTCATAACATCGCTGTAAGCTGTACTTAACAGCATCTAACAACAATAGGTTATACATGCTCTAATCTGAGAAATATCAATAGTATATATATTACTAATAATAAAACTAATCATTCACTTGTCTGTAAAGTTCTTTATGGGTTATTTCATTCTGTAGATCCTCAGCTCTATTTTCTAATGCAAGAAGTCCTTACCTTATGAGGTTCAATTCAGTTCATTTTAATTTGGTTCTGCCATAAAATTAACATTCTTATTCATTATTGTAACTTTTATTAGCAGTCTCTTTAAAAGCCTGATCTTTGAACATCAAAAAGTGACCATCTGAGTATGATCACCTCAGCAAATTATGTGCTACAACACTGTATGTAGCACTTATTGCTACCTAGCAATATGTTTAAAAGAGGAAAGAATCCTAAGTTCAATTTGCCGTAACTAAAAACATCGTAAATAAGAGACTATCTCTTTTTCCCATGTACAATCTGTGGAGTATATCTTTCAGTATGAGTCTTCCTAGTCATTGTCTGACTTTGCTATGTAGATGGAGGGAGTACACAAATGGGGCGTGTTAGCCTGTGTACTAGGGAACTGGCTATCTAGCATTATACAAGGAGATCAGCCAGTTTAAATAATCTACAAGGGGCTTGTCCAGTCTCACCACTGAATTGAGAAAGCCAGCAGCAATAGGCAGAGATACATTCTGGCATCAATAAACAAAAAGCAACATTCGTAGGGCACCCTTTGGCTCCAGTTATTGCAGCAAAACCTACAGCCAACCTGGAGACCTGATGTTAGATGGGACCCTGGGGAGAGGGGAGGGAAAGAGCCAATATTGGTAGGATTGAGAACTCTGTTGGACACTGGAGGTGGGAAGCCAATAGTGGCAGGACAGAGAACCTGTGATCACTGGCCTGAAGCTGCAAGACTCAAGGATGAGGT